AGGTGGGGGCGCTATCCGTCGTACGCTCGCAAAGCGTGGCTGGCGTGGCAGTTTCTCGACACCGCACGGGGTGCGCTGGAGGTGGGCTCGCTATCCGTCGTAGTACAACGTGGCAGGCGTGGCAGTTTCTCGACGCAACAGAAGGGGACGGTGGAGGTGGGGCGGCTATCCGTCGTACGCTCGCAAAGCGTGGCAGGCGTGGCCGTTTCTCGACACCACAGGGGGTGCGCTGGAGGTGGCGGCGCTATCCGTCGTACGCTCGCAAAACGTGGCAGGCGTGGCAGTTTCTCGACACCGCGGGGGGGTCGCTGGAGGTGGGGGCGCTGTCCGTCGCACGCTTGCACAATTTGGCAGGCGTGGCAGTTTCTCAACACCACAGGGGGTGCGCTGGAGGTGGAGGCGCTATCCGTCATACGCTCGCAAAGCGTGGCAGTCGTTGCAGTTTCTCGACATGGCTGCGGGTGCGGTGCAGGTGGGGGCGCTATCCGTCGTACGCTCGCAAAGCGTGGCAGGCGTGACAGATTCTCGACATCAGAAGGGGTGCGCTGGAGGTGGGGGCGCTATCCGTCGGACGCTCGCACAACGTGGCAGGCGTAGCACTTTCTCGACACCACAGGGAGGGGGGCGCTGTGCGTCGCACGCCCGCAATGCGTGGCAGGTGTGGCGTATGTTCGGCATAATACACTGTGTGCGCAGGGTGTGGGGACGTTAGCCTTTGCACAGCCGTAAATCGTGGCAGGCGCGGCAGTTTCTCGACATTAGAGGATGCGCGCAGGGGGTGTGGACGCTATACGTCGCACGCTCGGCGCTTGCCATCAGTTGCATCCAGCACTGCACGCATGGAGAACAATAAGCGCTTGGGCTCAAGCCGACTCAGCGCGCTATGGCTTTCACGCCGGTGCGGCAGGATTCCCCATCACAGGCAGCAGGTGCTCCCTTGTTGCGGACGGCAGTCATGCGAAGGCCCGCCTCCATCCGTGCTCAAAGAATTGCAGAAGTTCGATGAGCGCATGGCCACGGAGACGCGGGAGATCGAGGCGTTCGCCCTGGAACGCCAATGGATGTTGCCGGCGGCGTGAGGTCGTTGGAGTGCGCTTGCGCCGGAGTCTTTCCGACAAAGGCAGCGCTGCCCAGCCGCATCGAATTCGCGCGGCCCGCGCCGCTCCTTGACGATTTCGGAGCGGCCGCCCAGCTTTTGTCCTCGTGGCAACCGCGGCCCAAAGATTTTCCATCGAAGGACACAGATTGCGCGCAGGCGGATTATGTTTGCTTTGCAAGTCCTTTGCGCGCGCAGCTAAGAGACTCTCCGTCGAAGAGACGCGGGGACAGACGTGGAAACGGTGTGAAAATATATTCAGAAAAGTAAGCCAACCTAGGTGAGAAAGGAAGACAGGGGTGCAGGAACACGCAGCATGAGGGGAGGAAAAAAGGATCACTTTAGAGGCTCCCTAAAGCGTTTGCGAGAGGAGTTTGATTTGCGCCGACTTCCACAGTGGGCCCCTTACTAATCGCGATGGGCAGACCGTCTTGCGTTGCCGCGTTGCTTGTTGCCGCCCCGGGAAACGGCCCTCGGTGACCACCTCGAACCTTTCCCCGATGGAGGATAGAAGGCGGGGAAGGGGGAGGATATTCAAGCGATGGTGCGATGGATGGCAAAATAGGGAAACGTTCGCGAAGAGGTTTCAGAACGCAGGATTGCACACAGATGGCAGTAATATGCAAATTATTTTTGAATTGAGTATGTGGGGTTCCTCGGTAGCGAATTAAGTATGTGGGGTTCCTCGGTAGCGTATTTCTTGGTTTTCGGCTTCCGGGGGCCCTTACCGGGCCTCGGGGCCGTCAAAAAACAATTCTGGCTGCAAAACCGTTCACGCCGGAGAGGCGCAGACTTGTGGGGGTGGACGTCGCGAAAAAATCAAGATGCAGGGGTTTGGGACTGGAGTTGCCCCGGACAGCAGGTATTCTGGATAATTCGGGCGCCCAGATTCCTTCCCGGATCATCGGGGCTGGGGGCGGTCAAGGGCATTTGCAGACTCGCGCTTCGGAGGCCCAGACCGGAGTTACCCCCGACAGCGGTTCACCCGGAGATTTCGGGCGTCCAACGCGCGAGAGGTGCACTGCGCGCAGGCATTGGCAGAAACCGCTTCCCGGGCAAGGCGACGGAGGAAATCCGAAGTGGCTCAGTCGACATTGGCATCCGAGTGCGCCTGCAGGCGCACTCGGGCGGTCCCCAGTCGCAAATCGACGTGTTTTTCGCCAGATGCCTATGGTTGTTGTTGGACGTCGATTATCGACCCCGTTGGGTTGCACTCGGAATGTATGCCGTGCTCACGTAAGGCGTTTTGCTAAAGGAACCCCGTCCACCCCCCGACCTTTTGAAAAGACCTTCCCTGGGACTTTTGCGTACCAGTTTTTCCAAGCCAGTTGGTTGGGGGCCACGGACCATCGCAGATCGATCTGGCCCGGAAAATGGAACAGAAAGATGGGGTCAGGGGCTCTGGACATGATTTCCATGATGTTGCAATTTTTTCGTTGTGCCAGATCCCAGGGCTTAGTGCGGGTTCGCAAGGGTTCCCCCGGCGTCGGTTGGCGCGCTCGGGTTCGCCCCCTCCCCCACCCCTCCGCGGCCGCCTTCGGGCGGGATAGGACGAGGATAAAACCATTCCATAACGTTCCAGGGCGCTTTCAGATCGTTCCGGAACGCTCTGAGAAGGCCGCGGCGCCCGAATCATATTTCAGAACCGCTGGATTTGAGATGTTCTCGATTTATTCTTAGGGAACCCATGCCAAGAACACCCTGCATGCCTCCAGGGTGCCCTGTGTTTCTAGGGTTTCGATGGTTTTGCCATGGGAAGCGTGACGTTCACACACTTAGAACAAATGGACGTCCTGAGGTCTCAGGGTTGGGTTTCCTGTGGACGAATTTCTTGTGGTCGAGCTCCTACTGTATGGCCCCATGCAACCCATTGAAAAATCAATGCAGAATTTCCGGGCGGTTTCGGATCTGGGGCCCTCGCCGGGCCCCGGAGACGTCAGTCAGCCACTCGGGATGGAGGGCCAGGTTTGGTGCAAGGGTCGTGACACCCGGGGGGCGGGCCCGTGCGGAGAAAACGCAACAGCATCAGAGTTTCGGGGAGGTGCTCATTGGCGAAGGTGCCTGCGAGCTACTCGCGCCCAAATCCTCCTTTCCTCCCTCCTTGAGGGTCGAGGGCAAAACTTCAGGACCAATCCTCTTCGGGTCCAGCCAGGGTAAGCAGGACCAGGGTAGGTGGGTCGGCGTCGCCCCCCCAGCCAGTCGTGGAGAGGTGTGGGCCACATGGTTGTCCTGCATGCCAGCCCCTCCCACTGACCATACCTCTTCTTGCCAGGGGGCGGCGGGAGGAGCAGGAAGAGGAGGAGGAGGAGGAGGAGGAGGAAGAGGAGGAGGAGGAGGAGGAGGAGGAAGAGGAGGAAGAGGAGGAGGAGGAGGGTTAAGTCGGGCATGTCCCTCTACAGGAGGAACATTCAAACATAGTTTGAATACTAGCTCGAGGGCGATGGTTCGACCATTTGGGTTATCTTGTATACTTCGTGACTCTTTCTTATCTGGACTTCCAGAAATCCCCCCTGCAGAAGGGCATGCCCGACCTGAGCGGCGGGGGCGGCTCGCTTCGCATCGGCCGGCCACGGAAGAAGGGCCGGGCCCCTGCGCTGCGGGCGGAGCGCCGAGCCGCCTCTCGGGCCCGGCGGACGAGCTCCCCCCCCCTCTCACAGGGCCTTTCGCAGCGGAGCTGGGGCGCGCGGTCTCGGGCGAGGCAGGCTCCGAGAGTTGGGAACCCCCAAACCGGGTGGTGAGATACCAGGTGGCGACCTGGAATCCCCCCAAAAGTCGCCGCTGGGTTTGGGGGCGCGGGGTCACCACCGGGTTGTGTGACTCCTGGCCCCACCAGTGTCCGGGACATCCTCGGAAAACCGCACGAGTCCCCAAACCGGGTGGTGACACCAAATCGCCCGAGACTCACCGCCAGGTGTTGTCACCACCACGTTTGGGGATTACCAAGAAAGGGGCGGGGGGGCGCCATGCGAACCTGCCCGTTGGTGCCCCAGGTGGAGCTGCTGCTGGGGCACGATTCGCGAGACAGGCGTTGTCATGGGCGGGAGGGCGCTGTGCGAACCTTGTCTCTGGGCCTTTGGGTGGTGCTCCTTGTGGGCACGAGCCGCGTGATGGGGTTGTGCCGCAACGGCCGAAGCCGCCCTTTCACGAGCGTCGCCCGTTCTCCCCGCACAGGCGCGCGGAGTCGAGGGGGACGCACACTGACAGAGCAAGAAAGGCTCCCGAGGACGCGCACAAGCGATAGACTCTGGCAGGACCCTGAGATCCTGGCGACTCATTTTTTTCGAGCCGGACGTTTGCGCCCAGTTTGGGGCCCTGGGGCGCTCATGGATGGATCCGGCTCGAAGCATGATGCAGAAGGATTGGTTCTAGGGCTCCGTGCGTGATTTCACACGATGTTGCAATTTTTCGCTACGTCGGATCTCAGAGGACACACGTGAGGCGCCAGAGGCCATCAACCAAGGAAACGAAAGACGCACGCAGGACACACGCGGGAGGCTCCAGAGGCCGCCGGCAAGACAAACGATTGCCATTCGCCTCGGCGAGTGAATGCGGCGCCGAAAACCGACAACAGAAAGGTCCGCCTGCGATTCCAGCGGGGTCCAAGGGAGGGGCGGGGCTCAGGCCCACACGAGGCCTGACAAGGGGGGGCGTCCCCCCAGGCCCTGACAAGGGGGGGCCCCCCTTCTCCACCTGTGTTTGGGGTTGTGGAGGACGATCAATGGAGAGGGAGCGTATTGTCAAATCATTTCCAGATGTCGAAAACATGTTTTAAACATGTTTCAAACAGTTTGCAAACACATGTTGGAACATTTGTTAGAACAGTATTCAAACATTTTAGGTACATCTTTAATTCAATGATCGGATTGTAGGGTGTCCATGGTCATGGCATCCACAAGCTTGGGGGATGGTCGCCCGCGTGCATTCATACTCCGCCCATCTCCTAAGATCCGATGCTCCAAAAGATTGGAGCAGGCGGTTGTTGGCCGTTTTCGGCCTCTGGGGGCCCTCGCTGGGCTTCGGGAGCGTCAACAAACGACTCTGGACGAAAAACCGGCCCTAGAGAAGTGGTCTGGACCTCCGTGGCCCACGCATCGCAAAAATGTAAGCAGCTGGATGTCTGGGTCTGGCGGCACCGACACCTCGTCAGCCTCCAACTGGCGGGTGTTGCCCCGGCTATCCCCGTGCCCTTGACGGGGCCCTGCAATCCAAGCAGGGGGGGGCGGAGGGGGTGGATGAGGGAGGAGCATGGAGAGGGCTTGTCGGCTTGTCGTAATTTTCGGCGTTTGGAGGCCTGGTCCGATCTGGGGTGACAAGCCTGCGACGATGAATTCCAGGAGGAGCCTGGGGACTGAGCGGATTCCAGGGGTGCCTCCAGACCTCGCGACCCCTTCTTGGGGTCCCTGAGACCTGGAGCGTTTCCTTGATGGCCCCAAACCCAGGCAAAACGCCCATAGAGCCCGAGAGTGGGGCAAAACCTCCCCTCCCCCCCAGGAGCAGTCGCTTCACGGTACCGCTCGGAAGCCAGGTGACGGTAGCCACAGGGAGGGGCTGGCGTACCATTGCGCGTCAATGCAATAGGGACTGCCAGTGTGCAGTCTGCCGACATGTGTATCACTACGATTTGAACTGGAAGCGCCTCTCTTTTCACACTGCAAAATGCATCCTTTCACATTTCAGCTGGAAGTCTCGGCGAGGCATGCTCCAAAGACCATTGTGAGCGTCAGGACTGAAAAAGAGATGGCCACCTCGCTTGCAGCTGCATGCAGCACTAGTGGGCAGCCTATCTCGGGCGGGGAGCCATGCACGAGCTGTCGAGCCTCGACCGGCATCTGCCCCGGCATCGTCCCTCGCCTCTCCGGGTGTTGCTGCTGCCCTCCCTCCTTCATCCACCTCTTCATCCTCTCCGTCCCTGCTCCATCCACCCGCATTCCTGCCCCCTTCGCTCTCCTCTATCCCTCCCCTCCTCTTCTCATCCCTGGCGGACCGCGGACCTATCCCGTCTCTCTCTCTCTCTCTCTCTGACTCTCTCTCTCTCTTTCTTTCTCGCTGTCTCTCTCTACTTTCTTTGATGAATACAACTTCCCTCTCTCCCTGGACTCTGTGCGAAAGATGATCGACCCTTTACGCGTTTTTTGCATACAGGATTTCAAGCGTTGTGTTGGTATTAGGTCTTTTGGTTTTACTCTGCAATTATTTCCAGTGTTTCAAAGTTGTGTTCCTGCTGGAGCTTGGGCTTCATTTTCGGATCGGCGCTGTGCTCCCGTCGTTCAGAATGGCGCTCTCGCCCCAACGGATGGGAACTCTTCTGGATCGGAGTCCTTTTTCATCGTTATCGCCTTTCTTGTCCCTTTATCCGCCTTCCACTGGTTCCACTCCAATTATTGACGCATCGCTTATCCCCTCCAGCCCATCCACAAACGATGCCCGGACGAGTTGCCTTGGTCAGGGAAGCGGAGGAGCATGCAGTGGATCAAGAGCTGGGGAAGCCGTCAAACTCTAGCCTTGGATTCTTGGATCAGCCTGCGCAGACCTAGGAGCGAACCGTATGCGCCTTCGCGGGCCTTTCGAATGAGGAAAGGGGAAGAAGAAGGACGAGTGGGATGAGGGAGAGGAGGAGGAGGAGGAGAAGGAGGAGGAGGAGGAGGAGGAGCAGGAGGATAATAAAATGAGCAGGATGAGGAGGAGGAGAAGGTGGGGGAGGGGGAGGAGGGAGGAGGGAGGGGGAGAAACAGGCGGATGAAGAGGAGGAGGATGAGGAGGAGGAGGAGGAGGAGGAGGAGGACAACGGCCAGCTTGCGGGCTTCTTGGGGCGTCTTGGGGGCCTCTTGGCGGTCACAGGGGGCCTCTTGGACCGTCTTGGGTGCCTGGGGGAGCCTCTTGGGGCCTCTTGGGGACGGTCTTGGGAGCCTCTTGAAGGCCTTTTGGGCGCCTCTTGGGGCCTCCTGGGCGCCTCTTGGGGCCCTCTTGAAGCGCTCTTGGGAGCCTTGGGAGCGCTCGTGGGGCCATCTTGGAGCAGATCGATCAATGAAGGGGGGAGCTTCAATTACGCTCCCCTCCTCTCGGGAGCCCCGCACATCGCCTCTTGGACCCCTCTTGGCGCCGCTCTTGGGGCGCTCTTGGGCGCTCTTGGGGCCGTTTTGGGGCGCTCTTGGGTCTCTCTTGGGGCACTCTTGAGTTATTTTGGAGCCATCTTGAGGACTCGGAAGACCATCGACAGCAAAAAGGCGAGAGAGCGAAATTCATTGATTTTCCTAAGGTATTTGAAGGATGTTGGCCTCTTGGCGGCCTCCGGCGGAGGCTCCGTGGCCACTTGGAGCCGTCTTAGAGCGGTCTTGGGGCCTCTTGAGGCATCTTGGGATCAATTTTGAGCCATCTATGGCTATCTTGGGCCATCTTGTAAGTCATCTTGGGCTCTGTGAGGCCCTCTTGGAGCCGTCTTGGGCCATCTGAGATGCTCTGACCGCTCGCGAACCCCCTCTCCAGGTGCAGGGGGGGGGTAGGGGGAGGGGTCAAGCTACCCACCCGCCCGCAAGCCGTCTAGCTCACTCCCACCCGCCCTCCCAGCACATAGGTAACACCCGAGCCTGTGCATGTTCAGCGGTCGTCTTTGGATGCACTGGGAACCAAAGCCGACCCCAGGTGCGCCACGCTTGGGCGAGGTGCGCCACGCGTGCCAGGGGCGCCACGCGTGCCAGGCACCCCTGGGGCCCGAGCGTGCCAGGCACGCCTGGTGCGCCAGATGCGCCAGATGCGCCACGTGCTCCGAGTGCGCCAGGTGCGCCGCACACTCCCAGCCGCACCAGGTGCGCAACGTTCGGGGCGCATGCAGAGTGCGTCAGGTGCGCCTGCGCACGTGACAGCAAATATTGGAAAACACGTCGGCCCCCGCCATCCTTGTCGAAAACCGATGCTCATCATTGTGTCTGGTGGGCCTGCGCACAGCAGGCCACGCGCCACCTCCCCCGCCGTCCCAGTCAAAATCATTTGGCAGCGATCGCGGGATGGCCGCGCACGATCCAGATTTAGCCGCGAGGTGCATGGTGTATTGGTTTTTGTCAGGGATGGTAGTCCTGCGCGGCAGGGAATATGCTGGCACCCCTGCCGTCCCTGTCAAAAACAATACTGTTCGCGGGCCTCACGGTTTTGACTCAAGACTTTGCCCCAACGTGTATTTGGTATTGTTTCTATGGCCAGGGATAGTGGAGGGGGGGCCGCATCGGGTTGGCCGCGCATGCTCCTAATGTGGAGGCAGAATGCGGCTTGTATTGTTTTGTGACAGGGATGATGGGGGGCGGGACGTCATGGGGTCCTCATGGTTCCTGGTTGGACGTCGGTCGCCTGAGGGAGGGGGTGTATATTTATAAGGAACAGTGATCAAGCTACCCACCCGCCCGCAAGCCGTCTTGCTGACTCCCACCCGCCCTCCCAACACATAAGTAATACCTGGATGTCAGCAAATCGCGTAAGAACGCCGCAGAAGCCACGGGTTTGGAAGCCTCTTGCGTCCGGTTTTGAGGTTTCTTGGCAAATGTTTGAGCCGTTGGGAGGTTGTGACATCACCTCAGAAACGAAAAGGCGAAAAGGCAGCAGCCACTGAGGTGTCAAACCCCTCGGTCGACCACCTGCGCCCAGAAGGCAGGTGGGATCTGCTGGCGCCCCAGCCGTCCCTGTAAAACACCACTGCAAAGTGGTCGCGGGGCGGCCGCGCATGCTCCAAATGTGGAGGCAGAGTGCGGTATGTTTTGTTTTTGACAGATGGTGGGGGGGGGCCCTCATGGGGTTAGCTTGGTTCCGGGTTGGCTGCCGGCCGGTTGGGGGAAGGGGTATATATTAATAGGGAACAGTGATCAACCCCTCCCCGAAGAGGAATAAGGGGGTTGGAAGAGGAGCCTCCCTAGACCACCTACGCCAAGAGGGCATGTGGGATTCCTGCTGCTGCTGCTGTTCGTCCTCGTCCTGCTTCCTCATCCTCCTTCTTTTCCTCCTGTTCATTCTCCTGCTCAGCTGCCACCTCCTCCTCCCCCTTCTATGTACGCACCCCGATTGCACATAACATGATGGGGTACCTATACGACCACCCTTCGGGTGATAAGGAGGTTCGGGGGGGAGGAACCAACGTCTCACTCGATCGGTCTCACTATCGATCTCACTATCAATCTCACCATCGGTCTCGCTCGATCGATCTCACTCGATCGATCCTACAATCGATCTCACTCGATCTATTTCATTCGATCGATCTCACAATCGATCTGACTATCGATCTCACAATCGATCTCACTATCGATCCCACTATCGATCTCACAATCGATCTCACATTCGGTCTCACTGTCGATCTCACTATCGATATCACAATCGATTTCACAATCAACGTCATCATCATCATCATCATCATCATCATCATCATCAACATCATCGTCATCAACGTCATCAACATCATCATCATCATCATCATCATCATCATCATGATAATCATCATCGGGACACCATCATCATCACCACCTCATCACCATCATCAGCAACATCATCATCACCATCATCATCACCATCATCATCATCATCGGGACACCATCATCGTCATCATCACCATCAACATCATCTTCGGGACACCATCATCATCATCGAAACACGACCATCATCATCTCATCATCATCATGAACAACATCATCATACTCATCATCATCATCGTCACACCATCATCATCAGCAACATCATAATCAACATCTTCATCGTCATCACCGGGACACCATCATCATCGTCACCATCCGCCGCATCATCACCATCATCATCGCCGGGACACCATCATCATCATCATCATCAACAGCATCATCACCATCATCATCATCATCATCGGGCCACCATCATCAAAATCATCATCATCACCTCATCATCATTACCATCATCATCATCTGGACAGCATCATCGTCAGCACCATCATCATCATCAACATCTTCATCATCTGGACACCATCATCACCATCACCATCAACAGCATCGTCATCAACATCATCATCATTGGGGCACCAGCATATTCATCTTAATCTTCTTTATCATCATCTCATCATCATCTCATCATCATATCAACATCATCATGATCATCAACATCATCATCATCATCATCATCATCAGTATCGTCATCATCATCGGGACACCATCATCATCATCGGCAACATCATCATCAACATCATCATCGGGGCACCGTCATTATCACCACCATCACCATCATCATCATCATTATCAACATCGTCAACATCATCACCATCATCATCGGGACACAATCATCATTCCCACCATCACCATCATCATCATCATCAACATCATCGACATCTTCATCATCACCACCACCATCATCATCAACATCATGGACATCATCTTGATTATCAGCATCATCATCATCATCATCAACATCATCATCATCATCATCATCATCATCATCATCATCATCATCATGATAATCATCATCGGGACACCGACGGGACACCGGCGGGACACCGGCGGGACACCGCGCGCCACCGGCCCCCTGTCAGGAAACATTTCGTCCGGCCGCGCCTCAGCCGGAGGCGGGACACCGGCGGGACACCGCGCGCCACGGGCCCCGGGTCAGGAATCATTTGGTCCGGCCGCGCCCCAGCCGGAGGCGGGACACCGGCGGGACACCGCGCGCCACCGACCCCCGGTCAGGAATCATTTGGTCCGGCCGCGCCTCAGCCGGAGGAGACTTTCTTCTCGCCCGCCCACGCAGCTTCGCCTCGCCCGCACGCACGGCACGCATGAACACGAAACCGAAACCGATTTCCCCGTAGGGGGGCTCTCCGTTCCACTTCGATCTCACCCCCTCACCTCCGATTGTTTGGAGTCCATGCTAGCTAGCGGCTATGACACGCGTCCGCGGAGAGAGAGAGAGAGAGAGAGAGAGAGAAAAAAAAAAACAAACAAAACTAAAGTCAGTGCATTTGGAAGGGACGGGAGGGAGGGATAGGACGCCAGATATGGCGCGAGCGCACCCAGCTCGCCCTCGGCCTCCTCTCCCCCCCCCCCCCTCCGCCCTCCATCCTCACTCATTGTCCTCTCCCCTCTTGTTCCTCCCACCATCTCTTCTCCCTCCCTCCTCCCTCCTTTGGCGTTCTCTTCCCTCCGCTGTCCTTCTCCCTCTGTCCTCCCTCCTTCCTTCTCCGCTGTCCCCCTCCTCCCCCTCCTGCCCGTCCTCCACTGCCTCCGCCTGGAGTGCGCTGGTGGCAGCCACGTCCGCGCGGGGTCGTTGCCAGGGACCCCCCCCCCCACGCGGTCGGTAGCGGGAAGCGAGAAGCTCGCTTTGCTCCCGGCTCTTCTTCCGCACGCAGGGGTACATAGCAGTGCTGGAGAGGGGCCCAGCGATATCCATGTACACACGGCCTCCCGGGGTCCAGGAAGATCGGCTTCCCGGGCGATGGGTAGGTATGCAGTTCCTCCTCGTATATAGCGACGCAGGGGGGTTAGAGGAGAACGACATGCTGGTGCCGAGGTCGTTCCCCGTTCCCTCGCTCTCGGATCCTAGGCCCACGTCACCACGGCTGGACGTTCTTCGGGACAGTCAGGGCACGCCTCGAAAGAGGTCTGGGGAGCAGTACATCTGAAACGATTCCCCCCAGGGACGCGCAGGGTGGACTCCTGGGGACTCCCTCCCCCACTTGAGCACAAGTAGCGGCCCAGTGGATGGAGGGGAGCTACCCGACGCCAGGCTTTCCGAGCCTCTCGCTCCCCCCTTGCCAAGGCGTCGGAGGCCAGGCCGCGCGCGAAGACATTCCGCTCGCCGAGGGGGGAACGCGCGCCAGTCCCGACATCAAGTTGCGTCAGCGTTGGCTCTCATGCTCTTGTCAGGCGATCTCAAACATGGATCAAGGGGGCGTGGATTAGCGACGGGTCCCGTTTCCATGGGAAGTCGCGTATCCCCGCCGCCGAGCGAGGCGGCACCGGCCGCATTTTGGGGAGGGCACCTCCCCCGATCCATGGATTTGGCGACCTCGCGCCAACTCCACGGATCGCTAATCCATGTTTGCGCGCCCCCGACGGATGGCAGGGATGTCTCGGGCGGTCTGCCCGTCTGGTTGCCCAGGCAGATTTTGTGGGGAAGCCTCGGGCGGTTTGCCTGCCTGGTTGCTCCGACTTCCTGTGCTTTCAAAAGTGTTTCGGAGGTGGATAGACCTCCTACCCTGACACGTCGATTAGCGAATTGGCCGTTTTCGGTTCGCGAGAGGGCGTCGCGGCCGCCATTTTTGCAGGTCCAGGTCCTTCGGTTTCGGTCCTAGGCCGTTTTCACTGAAGGGTGGTTTACTAAGGGAGGTTTGTCCACCGCCGAGTGTTGCTCCCGCTGAAGTGCTGGCCTCATTTTCAAGCTGCCGCTCGTTCCGAATCGTGCTCCCGCTGCAGCGCTGGCCTCATTTCCGCGCTGCCGCTCGTTCGGAATCGTGCTCCCGCTGCAGCGCCGGCGTCATAATTTCCAGTGCCATGCCACGGCATGCAATGCAAAGCTATCTGCTGCTCCGCTGTGCGATGCCATGACTTCAGCTGCAATGCTAGGATCTTCAGTGCTTGACTACGAATTGTCACGCCATGCTATGCCATGCTACGCTTTGATCTTCAACGCCATGCTATGCCATGTTCTGTTATGTGCCGCTGTGCGATGCCATCCTTTGTGTTGCAATGCTTTGTGACGCAATTCTTCACTACGCAACGCCACGCCTGTTATGACATACTACGCTCTGCCGTGCTCTTTTACGCCCTGCTATGCCGTGCTCTACGATGCATCGCGCACCCTCTCGGGATCATTGCCCTGCTCGACATCCGACTGTGCGAATAGAGAGGAGATCTACGCCATGGAGAGGGATGGGCGGGAGGGGGACATCAGATATGACGCGAGCGCACCTAGCTCCTCCTCCCGCCTTCTCCTCCTCCTCCTCCTCCTCCTCCTCCTCCCTCCCTCCCTCCCTCCCTCCCTCCCTCCCTCCCTCCCTCCCTCCCTCCTTTTCGCGCCGCCGATCGGCCCGGGTGTACGCCCGCGGGTGCTCCACGACGATCGCGCCGCGCCCCCGCCCCCGCCTGGCACAGAGCCCCGCCTGGGTACGCGCGGCGCCTTCCCGCCCCGCGCGCGGCCTGCGGCCACGTCGACCGTCCGTCGTCCCGTCCGACGTGGGCGGGCACGTCGACCGTCCGTCGTCCATCGTCCCGCGAAGGACAAGCAACGGCGTGAACATGAACTTTCGATAATTAGTCCGCCCGGATTTCGTGCATCCGCACTGGGGTTCCCCAGCGGCGCCTCCAGCGCCGCCCCTGGCGCGCTCCGCGCGCCAGGGAGGGGGGGGTTCTCGCCCAGATCCGAGAAATCCACGCGGACCTCCACAAGTTTATGTTTACGCAGGTTTTCTTCTATTGCCGCCCGTCGACCGTCGACCGTCCCGTCGTCCCCACGTCACGCCGGGATCTTGGCCCAGTGTCGGGCCCTGAGGGCCCTCGCAGAGATCGGTGCACTTCGAGAACAAAAAGCGCAGGATGACGGGGGTCCACAGGGCTCCGGGCGTGGCTTTTCCGGGCGTGGGAGTTTGTTCTTTTAGATCCCGGCGAGTTTACTTGCATGGACGGGGCGGGGGCCTGAACCTGAAACAAGCCGCAAGCGGTTTGCACGTGCGGACATCGCGCAGGTCGAAAGGCACTTGCACGCTAACATTCGTTTGAAGAGGGGCGAGGGGGGGGGGGGGGGGCGAACGCCATGCAAGTAAACTTGCCTGAGCCCACAAAATGACAGGCTCCAGCTCGAGAAAGAAAAGGGCGCAGGACGAGGGGGGTCCACAGTCGAGGAAGAAAAAAACGCCATGGACATAAACTGTTGGTGCTCCGCGCAGATTTCTTGGATCCGCGCTGGGCCCCCCTGGCGGCGCCTCC